GCTATCCATGCTAGTGCTCAGGCACAGGCTTTTCTACGCGCCCGGCCCAGTGTCTGTTGTTTTAGGCCCCCAGTGTGTGGTACTTTGTTAACTCCTGGCAGCTAGAAACCTATAATCATACCCTGCCTTGGGTCAGCGCGCACGACTCCGAACACTGAGTTTTGCCACTCCCCCTCCTCTGCATTCCATCAGTAGCGCGGCAGGATAACTTTGTTCAACACTCTTCTATATTTATAGTGCACATCTTCCTGGTCCCTGACGTCTCCCTGAAGAACTCCTCCTCCAGTGGGGCTGCTGCCTCTCCTCCCCCTTGTTCTCCCTTCCTCCCCCAGGCCCCAGTTCCTTGAACAGCAGTGGCAGACGGGCGGACACCCACACAGGCCCCGGGCTTGCCCCAGCGCTCGGAGCCGGCAGTAGGCACTCACCTGGGAGGAGAGCCCATTGCTGAGCCTGTTGGCACTCCTCCTCACCACTGCTGACGGGGCCACTTCTTCATCGGTGGGTGACTTTGTCCGAGGGGGCACGATGCCAACTGCAGGGAGAAGAGTAACCAGTGGGCCTCTTAGAGAGCAGGAAAGCAGGAGCCTGTTCTCAGAGAGAGGCCCAGTCACACTCTGCACGGAGACCAAAGGTCCAGAGTGGGTGAGCACTCTCTCTGACCGGCCTGTGGCCTTACTTCTAGGGGAAGATGAGTCAGGAAGTACCTTTGTTGAGAGCTGCCTGCTTCTCTGCCTCCACCTCTTGCCTGGTGGGCACAAGGCTGATGTCCCTGGGGGTGTCCAGGGGCGATGTCTGGTGGGAGTCTTTCTTGCTTTGCTCATAGCTTGCCTTGGGCTGGGGAGAAAGGATGAGAAGATGGTTGATGCTAGCGTGGCTGCTGGGAATCTGGCCCCCAGTGATGTTTTTTTTTTTTTGCTTTGCAATCGTTGAAGCTCAAGCCCTTGAAGACACAGGGAACAAGGAAACTCTGTGAGTGCCGGCTGGGGAGGGGGCAGGGATGCATTGGAGCCTCCCACTCACGCACCTTCAGGCTGGTCAATGCTGGGCCGTCCTGGGGAATGAGAGCCCAGGGCCTCCAGGAGGGCTCTAGCCGAGGCCCCTCGACCTGACCAGTTGTCTTGGTGAGCACTAAGCAGCTCAGACTCTGTGAGCCAGGGTCAAAGAATGGCCAGAGGAGGGAGCTACAAGGCCAAGCGTCTCTAAGGATTCTGTAGGGATCCCATTCGAGACTTGAGCAAACAGAACCAGATGGGCCTTGGTACCAGGATTTTGGAGGGATGAAAAGGGCACTTAGCTTGTGGGCTCACAGAATCATGAGACTAGAAGAGACCTCAGCTGTCATCTGCGTCACCGCCTCCCACTGTACGGTTGGAGAATCTAAGTCTCAGTGAGGAGACTGCAGAAAGACCAGCTAAAGGCCAAAAGCTTCAGCTCTAGCCCAGCTGGAGAGCATGGCTAAGTCCCATCCCCGTTCTTCATCTGTCACATACAGGTAATGCTACCTGCTCTGCCCACCTCACTGGGTGAACCCACAGGGTTATGCAAATCACACACAGTTGAGGCTAGACGAGCACACGGGTTTTCCAATTTAGGCACAGGACTCTCTGTCCCCCCGCCCCGCACCACCTCTTCCCAGCTGAACTGCGTCTCTCCTAGATCTTGGCTAGGGAGCCAGGTGAGAGAAGGTGCCAGAACAGGGGAGCAAATGGCCTGTACCTTACACTCCAGGGGTTCATGAGACCCAAAGAGATAGGAGACAAGGCAGAGGGAGAGAAAGCATTGGAACACTGGGGCCTGCGAAGGGCAAGAGGCAGAAAAGCCATGGCGGGGGTGGGGTGGTCACTCGATTTCCACTGGCTGGTCACGTTGGTGGGGAGCAGGGCATAGCACCAGCACCCATGACCATTGGCTGCCTGTGAGCCTGGGCAGGGGGTCGGGCAGCAACTCATTTCCCCATCGCTCGCAGAGAGCGAAAAGGGGAAAGACGGACTCCATGACTATCTCAACCATCCCTTTCCTTATCCTGGAGTCTAACCAGGAAGGGGGCCTGGCAGAAATTGAGCTTTGGGAAAGTCAATGGGGAAAACGACTCCAGCGCCCTGCCTTGCCCCCTTGCCTGGCCCTTTGCCCCATCCTCCCTGCCCCCACCCTCCAGGACCCAAGGGTGCTGGGTACCTGACCCCTGGCTGTCTCGCCACTGCGCTGCCAGGAAGGGGAGCTGGGGTATGGCCAGAAGCGGCTCTCGCTAGGGAGTGGAGGGACGGTTGGAAGAGACTCCAGGGGGACGTAGGCTTTGGGGAGGGGAGGCCGAGGCGGGCCAGGTTCCTGAGGCAGAGAGAAGCCAGAACATTAGGAGGAACAAGAGCAGCCTCTGTGAGAGCAGGAGAAAAGAGTGTTAGCAGGAGGCAGACAACAGCACCGCTGGAAACCTGGGCTTGGACAGCTAGACTCCCACCCTGGCCTGAAGAGAGGGCCGGCTCCAGAGCTAACTCTCTGCCTGACCCTCCAGGCCCTCCTCGGCTGAGCGCCCACTTGTCTACCACTCCGCACGCTCCCCAGTTTTTCTCCGAAGGGCCCTCCTTGTCGCCTCGCCATCATGCTGGGCACATTCCCACCTTCCACCTGCGCTTCCATCTCACTGGCTGGGAACGTCTCTCTCGTTCCTCCACCTACCCAGATGCTGAATGGCCCAGTTTAAGTTCCACCCGCCTTCGAAACATCAGAGCATTTACAGTCTGAACCATGTCTCGATACTGAGACATGCAACGTCATGGTCCTAGCCATCGGTCTTGGTCCCCACTGGCTGCTGGGCTCCCGGAGTGAAGGCCCATGGGGCACGCATATGGCTCTTTCTGAAAGGGCCTCGCACCACCCCTCACCCACAGCAGAGCCCCAGTAAACATCTGCTGATCAACTGGCCAGGAAACTGCTCCCCACACCGACCCTCAACCTTCCCATGGCCCTGGAATAATCCTGGATTTACTCTCCTACGGACTGTATGGTGTCTGCTATCCGTGCTAGTGCTCAGGCACAGGCTTTTCTAAAAAGCAGCTGAAGATGACAGGTGGAGATGAGGACAGGTAAAGCGGAAATCTGAAGGGAAGGTCACAAACTGGGTGTGAGAATGACCCCCTTAGACAGCGAGCCCAGCACTAGACCTGGAGGCCTCTGGGGACCTGACGGGCACAGTGTTTGTGTAGTTCCAGGCAAGTAAGGACCTGGTCTCCGCCCCTCACCCACCTTCCACTCCATTTCTCAGCTTACCTCGTTGGACCCAGGCTTGGTGGGGGACCCCTGAGAGCCCGACACCAGGGAAAAGGGGCTCAGGGGGCTGGTGAGGCTGGCGGAGCTGAGAGGGCTGGCTGGGCTGTTGGAGCTGTAGCTGGCCGAGGGCCCGAGTCCTCCTTGGGGGAAACAGAGGGGGAGAGATGAGCGACGGAGGAGGGTGTGGCCCGTGTGTGTGAGGGCGCGGGAGTGGGGAGGCCAGGACGGCCCGCCCAGGGATGGGGAGGGGGCCTGAAATACTGGAGCGCCTGTGGCGAGACAAGCAGCCCAAGAGGCTGGCGCAGGCGGCACCCACCTCTGTGCTTGGCCGTGTCCGTGCCCCGGGAGGGGTTGTTCTTCCGCAGCCCCTCCATCACGTCCTGCACCCTCCAGATCTCCTTCTGGATCTGCCGGTTGAGCACCTCGTTCTGAAACGGCCGCAGCGTGAGTCAAAGGAAATGACTATGAGGGTGTCCCAGCCCCTTCTCAGCCCAGACCCCTCTGAACCGGTACCCCTCCGGGCCAGCAGGAGGAAGGGGTCCCGTGTGCACCCGCACCCCGCCCCCAGCGCAGTCATCTTCCTCACAGGCAGCCTCCCTCTTCAGCCTCTGTAGGACCACCCAGAACTGCCGGGTCTCAGAACCAAGAGTGAAGACCCGCTCTTCGGAGCTCCCCCAGGGGTGGTCTTAGAGCGAATGCCCCTCTAAGTGGACCCTTCACGTGAGTCTGTTTTCCAGCAGACAAGAGCTCCCAGTTTACTGCTTTTCTTCACATCCAAACAGCCCTTTGTAGAACCCACACCCAAATGCATTGCATTCAGTTACAGCTCACACGCTCGGACAGACAGCAGCTACCATTTACTCAGCACCCTCAGTACCAGGCACTGTGCTGAGCGCTCCGCAGCTACAGCACTAACGCATTTCAGCTGCACGACGACTCTCCCGCAAGGGCAGCAGCTGTCCCCACTTGAGGGATGAAGCGACTCACTCACGAGGCCAGCTGCTGAGGAAGCAGCATGACGCCACCTAAATGCGGGGCTATTTGACTCAAAAGCTGGTGCTCCTGACCACAACCCTATCCCACTTCCTAGAACGTTCGTGTTCAAAGGGAGGCTTGACCACGGGACATGGTTGTATTGGGGTCCCAGGGACTGGGAGGGGCTTCCCCCTGCCTAACCAGCTGCAAGGTAGGGCTGGTGAGTTTCGTTGCCAGGAGGGAAACAGGAAGAAAACGAGGAAAACCAGATGTTAACCGAATCAGAGAGACGGGCTTGCAAACTAGCTAGAAAAGAGGCAGGGCTTGGGTGGAGAAAAGAGAGAGAAGGAAAGAACGAGAACCCCCAAGATCACTAGGTCCCTCGTTCTGCCTCCCAGTAGACTGTTTGTAACCCACCCCAGGAAGGAAAGCCTCTTTCCCGTCTAGGACGTCCCAGAGAGACTCGCCCCTCTGCTGCCGCCTCTTCTGATGTCTGACAGGTGTTTATGTTGACTTGTCTGTTTTTAAATCCTTTTGATTATAAACACCTTATGTCTAACCTAAGTCTCCCATGCTTCAGCTTTAGCTCCTTTGCCTGTGAGCCGATGGAACTAGAGAAGAATCCCATATTATCTTCACCCCAAAACTTAGAGTCTGTCACCAGCGGCCTGAACCTCTTCTTTTGTCTCCGGACCAACTCCTCCTCCCAAGTCTCTGAGGTTGCTAAAGTGAGAGAGGAAGCCACTGCCGTCCCTTTTGCCTGAAAGGACAGGGAAGGCACAGAGCACATCCCAAACCTGCCCAGGGCCCTTCTTCACCTGGACGTCCAGATTGAGCTGCTCCCAGAGGTCGTCGTGCAGGGCAGAGACCTCAGACTCGAGGTTCTCATACTCTATGGTGCTGTTCGTCAGGGCCTGCAGGGGAGGCGGGCGGTCACTGCAAAAGCTGCCGTCACCAAAGCATTGCTCCTTATCCTACAACAGGGCCTGGGGCCAGGGTACCTGAGGTCTGGAGGTCTGGGGAGGAGGGCACAGAGGGCCCGAAGGAGAGGGGCACCAGGCTGAGACATTCTGATGACAGCCCAACACTAGTCCTACAAGAGGAGCAACAGCCCAGCCCACTGCCAACACCAATAAAGAGAACACTGAAGCCTCTGCAGGTCCACGGGCAGCAGACAGGGGAGGATATTCCTTCTGTACCCTCCTGTTCTGCCCAGATTGGGGCATAACAAGTGGAGGGCAAAGAGAAAAGAGCCTGAAGGAGGAGGTTGGAGACCATCCTCCTTTCTGGGCCCTATTTTTCTGGGGCTTTTGCAGCTGCTTCTTGGAGCCATTCTCCCAGCAGCCTGTGCCGGAGGGGTCTGCCTGCACCCACGGGGGAATGGTGGCGGCAATGGCGACTCTGCCAGCGCCCTGCTTCTCCGAGGGAGAAGACGAGAGTGGGCAGCAAGGAAGTTAGAGTAGCCGAGGAAATAAGTACCCCGCGACTCCATGCCGTCCTGCGGGAATCCTGGGACAGGTGTGGTGGGAAACAAGCTCATCCCCTCCGTGGAAACCGCACAGACGGCGCAGGCCGGCACACTTGCTGTCTGTTTGCAAGGCAGCGTTAACGTCTTTGTTTAGGCCCCTCCCGGGGAGGAGCGCCCTGCTCTTGCCCGCCCAGGAGAATCTGGACTCGGGCAGCACACCCTGGGCCGAGCGGGCGGTGAGCGCGCAGACCCCGCGCCGCGGGTTACCGTGGTGGCCTGGGACAGCTCCACGCGGATGTTGACGAGCTGCTTCTGCAGCGATTCCTTCTTGTGCAGCAGCTTCTCGGGGTAGGCGGGCTGGCTTCCGAACATCTCCAGCTCCTGGTGCGTCCCCATCAAGGCACTTTCCAGGCTTTCCTGCAGGGAGGCAGGGGACGCTGTGAGCAGCCCTGGTAGCTCCTTTCTGGGATTTCTACAGCAGAGGCCTCAGCCCTTAGAAGCGGAACAGGCAGCTTAGCAGAGGCTGTCCTCGCATTGGCTGAGGGCCCTGGAAGACCTTCAGCAGTTCTGTTTAAGGGTAGGACGGAAGTTTAAGGAAGGACCAGGCTCTGTCAGCCCAGGATGGAGACAGTAGCCCACGACCTTCTCCAAGCCACCCTGTCCCTGCCCACCTGCCCCAGCTGAAGTCCACCCCCAGGTTCTCACCTTCTCAGCTCGGAGCTGCTGCACCAGCCGGTCCTGCTCCCTCACCACCTTGTTCTGCTCACACAACTTGCCCAGCAGCTTCTGGGGGCCCCGAGGGTGGAGGAGGGGAGGGAGAAAGCAGAGGATGAAGGACATAGTTTGATGGGGGCCTGGGAATTGGGTTGGCAGGCCTGGCCTCCACTGCCCCCTCTCCCCTGCTGAGCAACCCTGGACCTTGACCGCTCCTGGGAACAGGAAGGGGTCTCCACCTTGGGAGGGGAGACGTGCTTATTCCCCGGGGAAGTGGGTGGGGTTGGCAGGGCTGAGAGCCGAGTGTTAAGCTCTTGCTCGCCATCCACCTGAGGGCTGCGCTTCACAAAGGCTGGGGAGAGAAGATGGCCTCACCTCCTGGGCTGGTGGGAGAGGCAGGCAGGGCGTTGGCACGGGCAGTCTCGGAGAAAGCCGTGAGCAGCGTAAGCCGGGCCCTGAGGCCCAAGGGGCCCTCCTTTCTCTCCCACCCCCAGACCCTGTCTTCCCTCCCCACTCCAAGGTCTCAGGGTGGCTGAGCCTGGCTGGGTCCCTCTGAGGTCTGATCCTATCAGGAGGGAACCTCTTCCAGGCCTGCTGGGCAGTGGTGGTGGGAGGAGGCAGGTGAGGCCAGACACCCTTTGGGAAAGACCTGGGCTTGCCTCGTCCACACCTTGATCCTTGCCTTTCCTCACACACCTGCTTTGCTCCTCTCTCCTGAGCCACATCTTGCCCTCTGGGCCTCTTCACTTCAGGGCCAGCTCACAGGCTACCTGTTTGTCCCTGACCCACCTGCCCACATGCCTCACTTCCCCGCACCCCTGCAGAACCTATTCTGGCTCCCATTCAGGGTATGGGCGTATGTTGCCACCCACTGCTGCCTGCGTCCCCATGGCCAGACCTGAGGGCAGAGCAGAGCCATGCTCCTCTTTCTAGCTACCCGTGGGGACCAACGCCCTGCTGGGCACGGAGCAGACTGACTGATTTATCTCCCGACAGTCTGTGTTCCTGCTATAAGCAGGTCCCGCCGCTGTAGACAAGAGGACCGTGAGCTCAGTGGAAAAACACTCAGAGCCGGCGTGGGAGGGGAGGGTGAGCGGGTGGTGAGGAGAAAAGAAGGGGGGGCAGGTGGGATGTTGTCTTTGTGGCGAGAGAAGATGTGACTCTGATGTATGAAGAGCCCCCAGAGGGGATAGAGCTGGGTGGGGGAAGCCCCCACAGAGGAGAGGGTGAGGACAGCGGCGGTGGACAGAGGGAGCAGGGGCGCTGTTCTTACGTCTGTGTCCTGCTCGTTCAGCTTGTAGGTGTGGAGGCTGTCCCGGAACACTTCTGGGTACGGAGGGACCTGCAGGAACACGAGGCTGGTTACTGTAGGGGCAGGATGAGGGCGTGCGGGGGTGGGAAGCTGATGTCACAGTCCCGCTCTGCTCCTGCCAGAGACCGTGGTCCATCACCTCTGGTGGCTTCTGTGCCAGGGACCTGAGCTAATTTTTTGTCTCTCGGCTGGCAAGCCTGTGATGGCCCGAAATAGACTCCATCCCAATTGTCCTAGGCTGATAACGAAGAGATCAGGACCCGCTCAAGCCACGCTCTGTGTGTCCTCTCCCATCAGCTCTAGGACCTGCTGCTTAGAGCAACTATGGGGTGTGTAGCCCCTGATGGCTTACTGGTAACCACCATGACATAAGTGAACCCTGTGGCTGTGGGGCCAGGACATGGGAGAATGGTAGCAACGAGCATGGAAACGTTTGAGAACTATTGCCCCAGTAGACCGAACACCCGTCACAGTGAACCAGGATTGGCAAGAGTTCAGAAGTGCTTCTGGGTCCAGCAAGTGCTGCCTAGCCTTGATGACGCATCTGGTGACCACGGCACATCCTACACACCACTGGCATCCATGGTTCCACGTTACATCCCTCATGCCCTTAACCCCCACGATGTGTGCCAACAAGGCAGCAAACACGGAACAGAAGTCCTGCACGTGCCAAAGCAGCATGGTATGAGATGTCGGTGCTGGCTATCTCGATGGTTTGGAAAATGGGCCTTGGGTTTACCCATGAATGGGAGCATGGAGGTGACACAGAGGAATTAAGGGAGGAGACAAGCCGAGCCTGTCTCCAGGGGAGATGAGGCCTGGCAGATGAGCGGGGTGGGCGGAGTGAGCCTCATCGCAGACGGGGCGACTGGACCATGCACAAGCAGCTGAGCTGGCATTGGTGGGGACCATGCTGCCAGGCAGAGGTCTTACTTGCATGAAGAGTTGGGCCCTGGGGGAGGAGTTTTCCACCATGCGGTTCACCATACTGATGAGAGTCTCGCTCTCACTCATCTGCAGCAGAGGAAGGAACGGACGATTCACACTCAGACGCACGCGGCGGAATCTCCCCCACACCCACCTGCGCTTGTCCTCCAGGAAACAGGGCGGGGCAGCTCCTCTCGGGGCCTCCAGCACCGTGTGCGCGCCCTCACCCGTCACTCACCCCTTGTGACCTGTCTCAGGATCAGCACTGAAGCTGTCCTTGCAGAAAAGCCACCGAAGGGAGCAGGGAGGCCTCTGGGCCGTTGCTCATGGCGCTGGAGAGGCCCAGCCCAGTGGCTCTGGCCCAGGGCGCCTGCCTGTTGCAGGTCCCATCCACAGTGGCCACCGCTGTCACCTCCTTGCCCTCATCTCTCACACTGCTTTGGACAGAACCCGTACAGGCAGGTGGAAAGGCTGATCTCTCAAAACTTGAACTAAATGAAACAACTAAAAAAGGAAAATCTGGGACCTGCTCTCTGGAGGGGCCTTCACGCATAAATAGGTACAGGTCGCTCTCCCTGGCTCCTGCCCACCCTCGCTCTACCGTAGGAAGGATTGCTAACACCGTTTCCAGAGCTGGGCTGGCAGCATCCATGATGATCTCGGATGACACCAGGGAGCAAATAAGGAGGCCAAAACAAGCGAGCGCGTTAAAGGGACACCAGGTATTGGGACGCTGTTCTTCAGCACGTTATCTTTATATTTCAGGGATCATTAGGAACGTTGGGGGGGGGGACTATTTTTTGCCTAATAAGGAGGTGATTGGTGGGGGGGGGGGGGGGGAGGAAGAGAAAGGAAGGGTTTAGGAGAGAGAAGGGCGGGCCAACCAAATCAACCAGAAATGCCATCATTTCCCCCACTGATTCCAGTGTGACAGGATCAAAAAGTGGCGACATCAGGGAATGTCCTTGGCTGTGTCCCTTTAACTCCACTGTTCTACAGGGGAAGGCAGAAGACAGAAGGGAGTTGTGCAGGAAAAGCTTTTTGGGAGGGAAAGTGAATGAGGGGAGGGAGGACACATTCGAGCCACATTAGGGAAGATCTTCTGGGTCACACTTCGGGGCGCTCCCTGTGTTTTTTCCATCATCTTCCCAATCTCGGTCGGACCTACGCTGTCTTCTCTTCCTCTTTCCCCTTTTAGGCAACAGCCCAAATGCAGCCTCGCTTCTGCATGCTGTGGACAGGGCAGGGGCACCCGCCACCTCCCTCGCAGGGTCTGCGGCATTCTAAAAGGCTTTGCTAGGATCTGATTTTTCTATCTCACAGCTAAAATTTTTTTCAATTGTATAAAGTATGATTTAAAAAGTTTTCAAAAGAGCAGTTGTAATACGAAGTTGAGTCTGGAAGAGTTAAAAGTCAACAGGACATCAACCACATTTTTTTTTTTTTTTTTTAAGACAGAGTCGCACTTTGTCACCCAGGCTAGAGTGCCGTGGGGTCAGCCTAGCTCACAGCAACCTCAAACTCCTGGGCTCAGGTGATCCTCCTGCCTCAGCCTCCCAAGTAGCTGGGACTACAGGCGCACACCACCATGCCTGGCTAATTTTTTCTATTTTTAGTAGAGACAGAGTCTCACTCTTCCTGAGGCTGGTCTTGAACTTCTGAGCTCAAGTGATCCTCCCACCTTGGCCTCCCAGAGTGCTAGGATTACAGGCGTGAGCCACCGTGCCCAGCCAAGGATCCAAACTCAAGTCTATCCCCATCTTCATGGAGTGTGCGTGTGTGTACGAGAGTATGTTTAATTTGAATGGGGTATGCATGTATGGTGTACGTATGTGTGGTGTTGTGTGTGGATTGCATGTGTGCATGTGTGTACGCACAGGACAAAGCAGATCTATCACCAACCACATCAGGCTTCGAGAGGGCACAGGAGGCCCAGGCTCTTCCTGGGCATTCACTGATCTCATTCCTTCCCCACTGTGTGTGGATCGAAAGCAACAAAGGAAGGGAGAGGAATGTTCTCAACCTGGCCTCCTCCTCCCACCTGTGCTGTGGCTTTGGGGATCTTTCAGCCTACGTGGGCCGTACCCTAGGAGGATTCCCGTGTGCTACCGTTTGTCCCTCCAAAATGTTAGAGGTATTTTGTGAGAAAGCACCTAATCCAGTGCCTCATACACAGTAAGTGGTACTCAATATTTTTGAGTTTTAGAAAAACAATAGAATAACAGTAGCTGCAGTCACCACTCCTTGCCAACGCCTGGCGAAGAGCTCTCATGTACATTCCCTCTTAACTCTCCCAATCAATCTGTGAGGCAGAAACTGCAGGTTCTACAAGGTCCACTTTATGATTGAGAAAACAAAGACCCAGAGAGACCAAGTGACATTTCTAAGAGTTTAAAAAAAACCCTGTAAATGCCAGAGGTGGAACTAGACTGGCAGTGTCTATGTTCTAGGCTCTTCTTACCATACAATACTGCCTTTTAAGAATATTACCCTTTCCCCAGGAGGGGGTCATCTGGAAGTTTATTTCTGAAGCCCCCAGCCTAACATCCCAGCCGCTCTGCAGGGCAGAAGCCCCCAGGAAGAGGCCCTGCTGTCTGCACGGACTGCTCGGCCAACCAGGCATAGCGGATGGAGCAGAAAGCCGATCACCTGGGGCGGGGAGCCTGCCCAGGAGGCTGGAGGCGGGAGGACACCGAGCCCTGCTCTCCCCACTCCCAGGCACAGCAAACCTCGCTTCCCACTGGGAGGATCCTGTGCTTCCCAGCCCTGCTTTGAGTCGGCTCCCTGGGACTTGGTCTCACAGGGACCAGACGCTCACGGTGTGGACACGACGTGCTGCTTTTCGAATTGGAATGCAAGGTCCTGGAGGGCTGGGCGCCATCCCTGCTGACTACACTGCGGCCATCAGTGCTTCTGCGAGGGTGACGTCTGCAACACTGAGGCCCGGTGAGATGGGTCACGTGGCTTGTGACCAGGAGCATCAATAGTTGCAGCTATATCCTCTGATTTTAAGTTTATGGCTTTTTTCTGCAACTTTAAGAATGTGAAATCATCCTGATAAGGATTGACCACAGCTTGGTCACATATTTTTTTTTTTTGTCACATGTTACCCTCAGCTGTAAACTGGATCAAAAGCTCAGAGTCACATTCTAAGCTGTGCTGCTCACTGGCTGTGTGGCCTTGGAATGTTATTTAACCTCTCTGTGCTTTTAGTTTCCCTCAGCTGTAAAATGAGGATAATAACCGTCCCCACCTTTAGGGTTGTTACAAAGATGAGATGACTCAGGGATGTGTCAAGTGCTTAGAATGGAGGCATGGAGGAAGCACCCAATTACGGGAGCTGCTGCCATTATTATTGTTACTATTATTGTCACGGTCATTTCCACCATCCTAGGCTGCCTCCACAGGACAGTGTTGAGTGCTTCCAGGTCCCTGTGGTTTGCAGCACAGATCTGAACATAAGAGTATGTGCTCACCTCCATTTGCTGAGCATTTGCCCAGCAGACTGACCCCCAGTCAGCTCCCTTAGCCTACAGGGCAAGGCGGCCAAGCATTAGAGCCCCGGGGCCCAGGCAGCCGACCCTTTGCACCTGGGGAGAACACTCACTGCCTCTTCAGCTTGCTCACCTGCAAAACGGGTTGATACTACTTCCTCTGTCCACTGCCCTGAATGCTTAGGAAAGCATGAGCTGTGTATGCAAAAGGGCTTCGTGGAGGAACAAATATACTGAATTAATATTATTTTTTAAATCATTCTAGGAAGGGTCACCAGGGGTCCGTTTACAAATTATGGCATTTTACAACAACCTGTGGGATATGCTATGATAACCTCCCGGACTCAGGCTGAACTCAATCCCTAGCATCCCAGGCCCACGCCAGGAGCTCCCTCCTCTCTGCTACTCCCGCCTCACAGGCGAAAATGCAAATTCCCACCTGCCCCCTGGGGGCAGTTCCATCAGTGCTGAACACTGGAGAAATAAGAGGTAGCATTAATTATTCATGTTCTCATTTATTATGCTTCTTTCCCCAGGAAACTCCCAGCTGCCCTAAAGCGCTTTGAAGAAAAGGGGCGAGAAGGAGCAGACCAAAACATAAGCCACTTTGTTGTGTCCCGGTTGCACCAACAAAGGTTGTCAATGGCTGGGAGATGAGGAGGTGGGGAGGCAAGGGGAGACGCGACAGAGGGCAGTGGGATGGTGGGGCACCAGCTCTGCCTACCTGCTGATCCAAATACTCTAGGTTTCTTTGCAACTGAAGATCTAAAAGTTCATCCTACCCGGAGCCCGAGGCCCAGAGGCCACACAGCAACACAAACAAACAGGAACACACAAAAGAAAACAATAAAAAAGAAGCAAAGCAGTTAAGAGTTAGCTGGACAAGGATAGGCCTCTCTCTCCGCCCTTGAGGAGGTCTGGGGGAAGGGATGTTGGCAGGTGACACTTCCAGGGAGAGGAGGGACGGACTCCATCTCTCCCAGGTCTGCCTGGCCCTCCCTGGGAGAGTTGAGCACCACCGGGGCAATTTAGGCGGCACTTCTTAGCAGCTATTTCTGGGTTTTCTGGGAAAATGGGTTGTTTCTGGATGGGTGTGTGTTCTGGACTCTATAGCCAAGGGTCAGGGCTATAGAGTCCAGACTCTGGCAGAGTGACAATTAGACAAAGGAGCGGCAGCCTCCAGGCCTGCCCGGGCCTCTTCTGCCGGCCTCCTGGTGCTATCATGGGGACAAGGATTCCGCCTGTCGGTCTCAGTGGTTCTCCCCCACACACCCAAGAACAGTGTCTGCATCTGATTCTCTAAGTGGTGGCAAAAATTCTCAGGAGAACAAATTCCAGGGAGAGACACTGAGTAGAAAGCAGGGAGAAAAAGAGGAGATGCCACATGGAAAATCTTCTCTTCCTCAATCACACTGCTTGTCTCTTTCCTCAAAGGAGGCATTCCGGGCAAAGGGCAAACTTGAAACAAATACACTTAAGGGAGAAAAGTTGAGAAGGTCTTGCCCGTTGTTAGGAGCTCCCCAGTCCATAACCTAAGCCCCCGGCCAGGCCCCTTCTCCTGCATGCTGGAGAGCAGAGTTGTGCTGAGGTTGGGAGGATCAGGGCATTATATGCACCTGGATCTCATCCATGCTCCTCTGCCCTCTGTCACGGAGGAGAAGGGGCACCTGGCACCACACTTGGTATTTGAGCTAGGGTCCTGGCCAGGAGGGAGGAGGTATCCGGAGGCTGCTCAGAACCAGGGGAGCCAGGCACTGGGCACAGAGCATCCCTGGAGTCTGCCCCAGTTCAGCTCCCCTCCGAGTGGAGGCAGAGAGGGGAGGTCCTGAGGTGGGGTGGAGGGCAGGAGAGGACGTACCATCTTATCGTGGACCGTGGGGGATGGTGGGTAGTTGTAGGGGAACAGTGCTGCAGGGACTGGCCGCCTGTCTCCCAGGTAATCATACTGGAAGAGAAACGGATCGCAGAGGTGAGGAGTCCGGCTGGGACACAGACTTCCCCAACAGCTGGAGCTCGAGGTTAGGGGTGTTTGTATTCGGTCCCAGAGCGGATGCCAAACCAAATGGATAGCAGCCCCCCCTCACGATGATCTAGCCGGGTCCTCAAGATTCGAAAAGACAGAACCCTCTCTGCCCTCTTAAGTAAGACAGCATGGTGCCTGGCACAACCTGGGGACGGGCACAGAGAGCAGCGTTCCCTCTCTGGGGGCAAAGCAATACTGCAAGGCAGCTCTCCCAGGGACAGAGCCACAGGCCAGTGGCTCCCTGGGCAGCATCGCTGGTCCTGTGGACACAGCCCAGTGGCCCTTGCCCCAGATGCCCCCACATCTCTGCCTCTTCTCAGCAGATGGCCTTAGGCTTCTGGGGTTCTCAGGGGTGAGGAAGGAAGGGCAGGCTGGTGGCTCACCTTGGGGGAGCTGATGGATCGCCGCATCACATAGGCAGCAGGGTCGGCATAGATGTCCTCGCTGCGAGGTGGCAGCCGCTCAAAACGGGCACTGGGCGAGCGGACGGGGGAGTAAATGCGGGCGCGGCTGTAGGAGCCTTGGCTGGGTGAGCGGGGCACAGAGTGAGACCGGGGTTGCAGGGACAGGCGGCGGAGGGAGCTGGAGGCAGCATCCAGCTCATCATAGTAGACTGGCTGCCGGGAGGGGCTGGGGATCCAGACGGTGCCATCCTGCCGCCCATAGCTGGCGGGCTCCTTCCACTCGCGCAGTTGGTAGGCGGGGCCGCCCCCGTTGCGGAAGGCGTGGCGCTTGTCCTCTAGGGCCCAGGGTGGGCTGATGCGATCATAGGCGGGCATGGAGCAGATGCTGTCCGGCCGCACCCCTGGGGGGTAGTACTGGTAATCGTCGGGGTATTGCGAGGAGTAAGGGCCGTAATACTCAGGGACCCTGCGGGACACGGGCTGCAACCTAGAGGGACTGAGAGAGAGAGGACATTGTAAGGAAGGCAGACAAAACGGGCACCCCTCCACCCACCTGCCTGTGCCCCAGGTCCTCTGGCCTAGAGCAGGGTGCTCCAGCGATGCACCGGCCAGAGGTGAGGGGAAGACCCGTGCTCAAAGCCCCCTTACTGGACCAGCTCCCTGAAGCCAGAAATTGCACCATTCAAAGCTTTGATTTTTGTCTTTTTAAAATGAAACACCCCTAGGAAGAAACCGGAAGCCTTACGAGCCTCTCCATCTCAGTGTGGGACAACCTGTCGGATCCTTTCCAGGAGAGGCAAATAGAAGAGGGTCAACCAGGCCCCCGAAGGAGGGCAGTGCAGGGGGCATGAAGGGCAGCTTCCTGATGGTATGAGCTTGTTGAGGACAGAGCCAGAAGGTTCCTGGGACTCAGCCCAAGTGAGGCCCTCTCCCCAGGGCAGGCCAGATCCCCCGACCCACGCCAGGCCACCGGCAGTGAGCCAGCAAGCAGGGGCCCGGCCACTAGGGGGCAGGTTCCTCCCAGGCCCCGCGGTTCCTGAGGCTGCAGCTGGGTCCCTGGAGCTGCCCACACCAGGGAAGGAGCTGGTGGACCCACCCACCCTGGTGCACGCTATGGGCCCAACAAACGTCTCCACATATTTGAAAGCCAGTTGTTCGACAGAGGAGTAAACTGCTCAAAGAGAGGACCAATGAGCTGCTTTGTTTGTATTTTGTGTTTCTTTAACTTCGTGTAAATAATGGCTTTCAAACGATCAGGGCTGCTCAAAAATGGAGCTGGTTTGGCAGTGACCGAGTCCCGTGTTGGTAGAACGCTGGAACAGGGGATGTCGTGGGGGGTCTGTTGCATAGCACAGTCGCATAGTAGGATGTCTGACTTGAAGAACTTCAAGCCCCCGCCCCCCGCCAAAGCTTCTGTTTCCTGGGCTACCCAGCACCCCGCGGAGAGGCCCTGGGGCACACTGTCCCTTCTTCTGCAGGAAGTAGAGGGAGGAAGCAAGAATGGGGCAGCGGCCAAACTCTGAATACGGAGTCACGGGGCAGAACAGGATTTGGGCGAGCTGGGAGTCATGGGATTTTCTTGGTTTCCCAACTCCGCCTGGCTTCCAGAAGGATTCCAGTCGGGGATGCCTCTCGGACCCCATTCCCACGCCCCGGCCATAACACCACCCCACCCCCGCCCCCGCCAGGCCTCACCTCCGAAGGTCTTCAGGTGGGGGCACCCCCCGGCGCAGGTTCACCCACTGCTGCAGCTGGTTCATGGAGCTCTTGCGCTGGGCAATTTTGTCGGGGTTGGTGCGTGGTGGGAAGCTCCGGCGGTGTCCCCCACTCTCTCCGTCCTGAGGCGGGAAGGCCGTGCTCCCCGGCCGGCTCGGGGAACTGTACTGCCAGCCGTTGGGCTGGGCAGGCTGCTCCCCACCCCCTGGGACCCTCGGGCCCTCTGGGTAAGGGCTGCCCGGCTCCGAGGCTGGTTCCGGTCCAGCTAGGACTCCGTTGGCTTTCACCAGAGGCTCCTTCTTGACTTCCGGCCTCTCGGGCCTCCTCTCTGCCTTCTCGCAGCCCCGGCCGTCTCCCTCCCCTCGAGTCTTGGCCTCCGGCTCGGGCTTGGGGAGGCTGTTGTGGGGTGTCTGGTGGTGGTGTTTGCTGGGAGGGATGTTCTCTGAGTCTGGCTTCTCATGGCTGCAGGATGCCAAGGGAGACGTTGTCAGTCACCCCAGCCCGGCACGGAGTTGGGCAAGGGTGGCAGACTGGGAAGGATGGGCAGGAAGGTGGTGACAGAACCAGGGTTCGGTGAATTCCAGTTCTGCGTTGTAAGTCCCACTGCTGTGTCTTCTCGCTCCAGGCTGAGCGATTACACGACATAACCCACCTGCCTACTCCCGCCTGCTCCCCTCTGCCCTCAGGTCTTCTCTGCAGGTCACTCGCCACCCCGTCTGCCGTCTGCCGTCTGATCTGAGCTTTGAGCCCCGCCTTCAAGCTACAGCCCAGACTAACTCAGCCGGTCCTGCTTTTCTCTGTCGTCTGTCCCTGAGCCAGCCCCCCCGCCTGGGTTTGCACTCTGCTGAGGTTTCGCAGCAGTGACCATCCTCGATGCCCCAGCGACAAAGGCTCTGTCTCCTGCAGAAAGTTACTTAACTGCCATGAGTCTTTAGCTGTTCATTGGCAGACTGGGTATGACATTACCTCCCCTCCTAGGACTGCTGTGAGATAAAACACGGCAGGGACCAGGGGCAGAAGCTGCTGCCTCCAAATTCGCAGGCGTATAAACACACTAGTTCCCTTCTCCAAAACATGCTTCTTCCAGGACTGCCTTCCCGTTAGAATACGGGCTCCACAGGGGAAGGGACATGGCAGGCTCTCCCTCCTTGTATTCCTGGCGCCTGGTACGGTGCCTTATGCATTTATATTTACAGCAAGTATTTGTGAAATGGATGAATGAACTTCTGGAAGGACGCCCCTTGGTTGAAGCGAAACTTGTGACAATTTTCTCCCTACAGCTTCCCAGATCCGACGTATTCGAGCATCCTTGCTGAAACATTGCTCAATAAACATTTCTAAGACATGCGACTAGACTTGGAGTCTACACTGTAAAACCCCCTTCTTCTGGGTCCCCGTTAACACCTAACTCCAGGCTCCATACCCAGCTACAGGAGAGACAGACGCTGAGACCGTGGGTGACGATGGGTGACGGAAGCGCCATATGTTGAGCATTGACTACACGGCAAGCGTTTCACACGCACTATACGTGGTGCTCGCGACAACTCTAGGAGGGAGGATTACGGTCGCTGGTTTGGAGCAGGGGAAACTCAGGTTCAGACAGGCTAAGTCCCTTACACTCAGATCACACTGAGACCAAGGGGCCAAGTTGTGATTCAAACCTGAGTCCACTTTTTTCCAAAGGTTGTGTGCTTGGTACACACAGCCAAGAAAAACGAGGAAATGACCCTGACCTTGGACCCCCGGTGGAACTAGCCTTCTCTCCTGGCCTCCCCCAGTTCAGATTGAAGAGGAGGGGCCGTCAGGGGAAAAGAGACCTCAGGCTCTGAAATCACGTACCCTCCTGTTCAGATATAAGGAGACAGTTCACACGCTCTCCAGGTTCAAGCCAGCACACTGGGCCCAGCAATAGTGTGGTGCTGGGCAGTTCTTCAATCCTCCTCTTTCTCCTCTCCACACCCCCACGCCCAGGATCCTGGCACTCACCCGTGATGCACGGCTTGGGGCGCCGACTTCTGCGCTGGAGGGATCTGTACTCGGGCAGCCTCCCCCATGGCCTGGATCCAGGCCTCCTGCTCCTCTGGGCTCTCGGCACTGAAGAAGTAGGTGCGGACACCGGCGTGCTCCGCCTGCGGGGAGAGGCAGTGCGTGGAACTGGCCCCGGCCTCATCCACCCAGCACACAGTCACCTGTTGGGAGAGGACACCAACAGCCACAGAGTGGGCAGTCAGTCAGGCCGTTCCCTACACCTGTGGCTCTTTTCCCCACAGGAGCTCAGGAGCAAGGAGAGGGGTAGCCCACAGCTATCCCAAGTGCTCCAGCTGGTATCCAGATATCTGCCTCAGCTAGCTCTCTGGATGCCATTAGGTGGCTCAATATAGCCAGGTAAGTCTACCTGCCCCACCTGAGATGATTACAAGCAGGAGGGACAATTATCTCACCCACTCTCCCATCAAATCCCATGTTTGATTTGAAAGGCAATTACCCGATGTCTGGGGGAGATGACCCCCGGAGCACATGCCAATCTCAGCCCCGGCTTCACAGCTGAGAAGCTAGTACTGTCTCCTCCCCTATCCATGGGCATGCGAGGGCACGCACTGGCACACAGACAGAGCACACTACCTAGTTGGCGGCTGCGAGCAGGTACAGCGGGCGGGAACCCAGAAGAGAGCTCCTGTCCAGAGGAAGGGTCCTCACGTGGTCAGAAGGAGGAGAAGCAGAAAACAGGTCAACCGCACACCAGAGGGAGAGACAGAAGACCACATGGCAGGAAACATTGAGGAGCACAGGGAAGGGGGGATATTCTGACTGTCCCCTTCTACTCGGTGTCACCCCTGGGAATGATGGCATCCAGCAATGCCCAGTTCAGCCTACCAAGGGGCGGAGAGTGGAGAGCTTGCACCACAGAAATCTGGGCTGGTGGTGGAGGGTAAGTCAGGGAATCTCAGCGCTAACCCAGGCTCTGCTCCCGACCCGCTCTGCGACTGCAGACAGGTGGGTTGCTTTTCTGCTCTGACCTTAAGTGATGCATCTATGTAGTGGGGAGGGTCTGCCTCGTGAAACTCAAGGGAAAGAGGCCACAGGACTAGATTCTTTCTGGGACCTCAGCATACTCCCAGGTGAGACCCTTAATCTCCAGTGACAATCAGGCAGCCTGGTTTACCTCCGTCAAAGGGAGGTCTAGCAGTGATCGAGAGTCTCAGATGCGAGCCTCACTCCAGCCTCTGACCCCTTAGGTGCTAAATCCTGGGTCTCTGGGGGTTGGGAGAGGAGAGGGCATCTCCGTCCGAGCTCAGGGCTCTCCTAAGCAGTGTCAAACCCACTCCCTCCAAGTGCTTTCCTGGCCCAGCCCTCATGAGGCTCCCCCAACTGCAGCCAATCCCACCTCACCTCTACTTGCCCCTAGCCCTCGATTTCTTTCTGACAGGAGCCAGAACCCAGGGAGAGGCTGGGGTGGGCCTCCTTGCTCTGGCTCCTGCTTGCTGGTCCCCACCCTCCAGCAGAGCCCCAGCGTGCGGGCAGAGCTCAGGATGGGTGCGGGAGGGGTTGGGGAGGTGCTGACAGCCAGTCGAGCTGGGGTGTGAAACTGCACAGGGGCAGGGAGACCAGGGGCCCGAGCACGCCCTCTGGGCGGAGAACACAGGGTCATTGTAGAGAAGAGAGACACAGGCAGGGCCGGTGGGTGTGTCCTGGGGCGGGTGGGAGAGGGCAGCAAATGAATTCTTCAATTCAGTGAGCACCCAGCGAGCGGCCTGTGTGTGCAGAGCTCGCTGGGGGCACCAGTCACAAGGAAGGCAAAGACATGCTCTTGCACTTGAAGAGCCCACAGTCACGCTGGGGGACAAAACATGCCGCAGGAAACAAGGAGAGAGCAAAGGCACAGGAACAAGTGCTGTGACAGGGGACAGCAGAGGGCCTGGGAAAAGGCAGGGCTATTGAGGGGAGCAGGGGGGGGCACCGGCCTGGAACGATGAAAGAGGAGGGGCTGGGGGACTGAGGAGCTGTCCCAGAGGGGCGAAGCCCACCGAGCCTCTGCGGGGCGGGTTAGGAAGAGGTTAAGGCATTAGCCATCCAAGGGTTCTGCTTGGTGGCCGCAGCAGGACAAGCCTCCCGTCTGTCTCAGCTCCCCTCCCTTCCCTGGGGAAGGGCCACTGAATAGCCACAATCAGAACCCTTTGTGGGCCACTGAGCGCAGCCCTCAGAGCCGGTTTTAAAGCGGCCGTGCGCTCCTCGGGTAGGGAGTGGGGGGCTGGTGGGGTCTGGGGTTGGCGGCAGGGGGCCGTGTCAGTCGCTCAGGGATGTTTATCTCACGCCTGCCGCTGGCAGAGCTCCAAGCTGGAGTGTGTATGTGTCTCTGCACAGGTCTGGTGGGGAGGGTGAGACAGGCTGTTTGATTACGTGTGGGTGTGTGTGTGTGTGCGCGTCTGTGTATGGCAGGACCGTTTGTTGTTGGTTAAACAGCCTGTTCCTATTTCCCCAGCTAGAACCGGCTCCATGGAGTCAGAGTTTTATTAACTGTTCATCCTGTTCACACCTTTGGCATACAAGACCCTGGGAGGCTGGAAACTAATTAAGTGCCAAATAAGTCCCTCCTTGTTCCCGCAGCGGGATCCGTGCATGCTGTCCTGCTTTTTCTGTGGCCAGGTGACTAGAGTCGGAAGGACAGAAGGGGTCAGAGTCCCCGAGGCCCGAGTTGCTCAGAGACTGACCTGGGGTGACCTGCAATACCATCATCTAACACCATAATCACAGCTTTGGGTTTGAAGGGTCTCGGGCAGCAATTCTCAACCGAGGGAGAGAGGCTTTTGTACTAAGAAAATGCATAGTTGATATTATAATTTTATACTTGGAAAATGAAAAGGAACCTATGATGTTTGCATTATAAAATACAAAAAGGATATGGGATTTTCATAGTTTTTAATGGGTCATGAATATTTAAATGTGGAAAAACACTGGCCTACGATGAGCCAGCTGTGGGCCGTCTTTGCTGGATGATCCCCCAGGGGTTCAGAGGGAGGGACCCGAGCAGGCGGGCGAGTCCCATTGTCCTGTGCACTGTTCTCTCAAAGTGCTGTCGACATAAGGCTTTGCAGCTCTTGCTGGAATGAGACTCAACTCCTAATTTTCTCTGAAGATTGAAATTTGAGTAGTTTGACTCAGAGGGAGGGGTCCAATTCCCTGGGTTCAGGTGGGGAGGAAGAAAGCCTGTTCCAGAAAGATCTCAGAGCCCCACCAGCCACAGCTCCTGCCTCTGGCCAGGAGAGACTTCCAGGGCAGGCTGCGGGGCAAAAGGTCCAAGGGCTCAGAGCATCACTATTTCCTCCCCAGGAAAACCCATGGTCCCACTGAAGCACACCTCCACTGGCCCACCTTGGGGAGAGTTACCCACCGACCCCCGAGAGAAGAGGAGGGGGTCCTGGCACAGCCTCACCTCAGCCTTATGACAGACTCTCCTAAGTCTGGGGGCCACTGCCTCCTCCTTCCTCTTCCTCCTCCTCATCCTCCTCTACCACCATGACCACCACCACCACCACCACCACCACTGCTGCCGCCACTTGGGGTTCCCTGGGGAGATGGGTCTTGATCCTTCTCCATCCCACACGCTCCGGAAGGGCAGGCCAGCCTCCCGCGCATGACCCCCATGACCTGGGAGAGCAGGGCCAACTGACCTTAAACGTGTGCTTGCGGCTGATGTTGTCCGAGGGCTGCACGGCTGCCACCCGGAAGCTCAGGAGGGGGATGCTGCCCAGGACGCTCTCCTCCTTCTCATCTGTCAGGGAGAGAGCACACGGGGGGTGGCACACGTGTGCACGTGGCGGGGCTTGAGGAGTGTACTGGCCCCGGTACGACAAGTATCGATAAGTATTTGCTGCTCATCTGCTGTGCGTCAGGCACTCGGGGACACCACGCACACTCCAAGAGACACACTCCTGGAGCTGGGGAGCGCGGTGGCCCCGCACATGCTGTTCCTGACGCCGGGACTGTGGAAGTGGATAAGAGAGAAGCAGAGCCCACCCTCAGGGAGCGAACATTCTAGCGCACAAATAAACAAGTGAACGACAGCTAACACTCCGGAAGTGCTCACTGTACATCAGGCACCGTCCCGAGTGAAATGCCTCAGTGGATTTAACCCTCCCAACAAGCCCAACAAGTACTGTTATTCTGCCCATTTTATAGGTAAGGAAGTTGAGACACAGAGAGGTTAAGTGATGAGTCTTTAAACCCAAAAGTCTACTCCAAACATAGCATTTGCGACCACTGTCCTATCTTGTCTCACTAAACGATGCCATTTGGCAGTGCCACGTGTGACGGGTGACAGGACAGAGCATGGTAGAATGGCCATCCCATCTCCTGCTCTCTGGCTCCCCTGGGTAACTCTTTCTAACGTGCTCCCGGGCACCCGCAGCCTGCTTTGCCCTCTCCTGTTGCAGACCCTGTCTAAGGTCCGTGGTTCCGTGGGGAAACACACCTCTGCGTGGAGCCCCAGCCCCTCTGGCCCTGGGGTCAGGCGAGAGCCTGGCTGTTCCCTACCTCACCCTGGGTCTCCAAAGGAGCCCGATGGATTGGCTACTCGGGCCCCCAGCTGCCAGCGGGAGGCCAGAAGGGGCGGGGTGCTCTGTGGGACGGTGGGGGGCAACCACGAGACCATGGCAAGACCCTCCCCACCTCCCTGGGACTGCTACTTCTTCCCCAGGCGGAGGACTCGAAAACCGCCAGCTAGGGTTCAGAAGAAATCTCTGCGGGGCTTATAAACTCCTCGAGCCCCGCTTCTCCTCTTCCTCATCACGGCCACGAGACACTGGGCGCCATTCAGCTTCTCCGTCCAGACCTCAGCATGGTGTCCAGAGGAAGAGATGAGCCCAAGGAGCAGGCAGGACTTGAGGCTGGACCCCACGGCTGTCTTCAGGAAAGCTGAGGCTGTCACCTCCAGAGGAGGTGGAGCCCCTGCCTGGCAGAGTCCAGCCAGCATGCAGGGAGTGTCCTGAGACCACTTCTCCAGTGGACAGTGACCCCCATTTTGGAATGCTGTGCCCCTTTGGGTTCTCAGCTCTTTGAGGTCCTATCGTCACCGCCAGTCCCAAAGCCTCTCCTCTGCAGAGCCCCTGGCTTTCCTCCCAGTTTCATTCCCGCTGTGGCTCCAGTGCAGCCCTAGGTCTGGGGGCTCAGCACCTGGGTCCGGACCTGGGCAAATTCTCCTCCCCCAGTCTTGGGCTTTCCTCTGTAACTGGACCCGGTATACTCAGCCCTTCCTGCTTTCTCTCCTTGGGGTTCAGGCGGCTGCAACGCAGGCACCAGGGACAGCAGGGCTGGGGGGGGCGGGTGTCACTGGGAATAACCTTTTGTTTGCCAGAGTTAATGATTCACTGAATTGCTCACAGGTGGCCTGAGGAAATCAGGGCTCTGCCATTCTGGGGCAAGGAAGTGAAGGAAACAGCCTCTCCTGCCTGAAAATAATTTTACCCTCTCTTCTCACCCCTAGTGCCTGTTCCTCCCACTGCATCAGCAACACGCTGCCACCATTAGGGCCACCAAGCCTTGCTGGTACCCTCTGAGCCTGCCTCGACACAATGTTGCTGTGTAGATTTCAAAAAAACTTCCTGGAGGCGGCGTCACCAAAGATCTTCGCCCTCCTTGTGTGTGTGTGAGAGAGAGAGTAGGGATGAGTGTTGGGGTGGTCAGACAGGGTGGAAGCTGGAGCATATTCATTTATTCAGGATTGAGCACCTACTATGTGCCACACCCTGTTTTAGGTGCTGTGGATACAGAAGGGATCAAAACTGGCAAAAATTCCTGCCTTCGTGGATGGGACGGTACATTCCAGTGAGACAGGAGAAAGATCTGCACACAACTCCAATTAGTAGGTGACCTACTAGTAGTAACCAGTGACCTCCTCTGCGCCCGTTTCCTCTCTCCCCCGCCCCTCCAGGACTCCACCATGCATATGACTGCCTTGTTCAGCCACTGTGTCACCAGCCAGGACCTGGAACTCTGCCTGAAACCTAGTAGGGATCGTTGAATATGCATGGAATGAGTGGGTGTCTGAGTGAAGGAGCGAGCTCGGCCCTGATGCACTGTCCCACAACACCAGTGCCAGGGACTGTGGTGGGGAGACCAGCCCTGCCGATGCCCACCCAAAGCAGAGCTTGGTGATATGGCAGAATGGGAAGAGTGGTGGGCCCTGGCTGCCCGCCGTTCCTGCTAGCCCAAGGCCAAGCTCACCTTTATAGTAGAAGAGGCAGCGATCCAACAGGACGAACCAGCGTTTGTTCCACTGCTTAACCCCGGAGCTGGCCTGCAGGACACACGAAGAGACAGACGTGAGGGGCTGCAAGCTGGGCATGGGGGAGGAGGTGGGAGGCATCACAGGGACACCCTGGCTCTAGCTGCAACTCTGTCACCACCGCGTGGCAGCAACCCCCTGGAGACCTCGGATACAGGGAACTGACATGAGATTACTGCCTGGGACCTCCCAGTTCTGTCGTTCTGGAGCTCAGTGCCAGCCCTGGGGAAGGTAAGGGGGCAAGAGATGAGCCAGAATGCATGAGCGGAAGGACAGGCAGGGAGGGTGGCAAGGTCAACCTGGGGAGAGGTGGTGGGCCCCAAGACTTGAAGGAGACACCCCACCCTCCCCATAGCAAGTGGGACCTGCTGAGAACGAGCCAGTGGCTTGCTCCAGTAGGGTTGGAGACCCAGCGTATTTCAAAGTCATTGTACCTGTCCATTAGGAGACCTGGCTGGATTCCCAAATTTGACACTAATTTTTTTGTGTGACTTTGGGAAGATACTTAACATCTCTGAGTCTTCATAAAATTAGGAGACTCATTCACAGAGACAACGGAAGGACATACCAAAAAATATATGGACTGCTGTAAGCACAGAGGGATGACGATGCCGTGAGGAGAAAGTGGCTATGGCGGGCAGAACGGCAGGGCGGCCTCACCTGTTTGAAGAGCCAGCCAGCCTTGGTGACAGGTGCATTGGGGTTCCGCTTCATGGAGTGTGAGCGCTTGCCAAAGGCAACGGCTTTGCGGGACGTTCGAGTCGCCTGTGGGTGCAGAGAGAGAAGCTGGCCTAACTCTCTTCCTCCTTTACCCCTACCCCCACGGAGCTTCGTCTCTCTAGGGTGACCCCTAAGGTGCCCTGACACCAAGGGGCCCAGGTGTGAATCTTGGCTCTGTCACTAACTCAAGGGCATGGCCTTTCAGTTCTGTGGCCCTTTTTCTCATTTCTAAAATGGGGCTCAAAATAATGGTCCTAAAAAAAATAAAATAATAGTTCTACCTACCAATCTCATAGCTTTTTTGTTTTTGTTTTTGAGAAGAAAATAACAGGATTTTGCATTTCACTCCTGGCCTATCCTCCCAGCCTCCGCACCCACCACCTCTGTCATGACGTAAGAGAAGCCCATTCGACTGTAATGCCCTGTAGCACTATCCCCGCGGAGTTCCGTGTCGTCTCCTGCCCGGCGTGCACACAGCTAGGAGGACAGGCTGGTCTTCTCCTCCTTACTGCCACGAGGACACTGTCATTCTTCCACGTGCTGGCAACACTCTGTCTTGAAGCATCACTGCCTGACCTCCCACTGTTTGACCCTTCTCATCACTGTCAGCTTCTAGATCGCTCTTCCAGAGTCTCAGGATCTTGACATCAGCCTCTTCCTGTAAGTCTCAGTCACTGTGGAAAGTGTCACTGCTCCTGAGGGTGGCCCACCCAGTGGCCTAACCTGACACTACCTTGGCGTCCTCAACTCCAGCCTCTTCCGCCCGAAGAACACTTTTAGCTTCCACCTGACTTGCCCTTTTTGCAACATTCTTGGGTGGATTTCTTTCTCCGGAGGCTCTCTTCCTTCCTCCTCCCTCTCTAGGCTCTCCAACTGCCAAGTCTTTCAAGACTGTCCCTCTAGATCAGTCGTTCTCAGTGAGGGTGGGGCTCTTTGGTCCTCAGGGGACATCTGACAACGTCTGGAGATACTTTTGGTTGTCACGAACTGGAGGGGCGGCGCTACTGGCATCCAGGGGGTAGAGGCCAGGGATGCTGCTCAGCACCCCACAATGCCCAGGACAGCCCCACACCACAAAGAATGATCCAGCCCCAGTAGCTGAGAGCGCTGATTTGAGAACCCCTGGTCTAGATGTTGGTCTTCTACGATGTTCTGCTCTGAACCCTCTTCCCTTCCTGCTCTTCACTCTCTTCCTGGGTCACCGAGCATGCTCTTTGGAGCCTGCAGAAACAGCTGGGCAGGCTAGGATTGCCTAGGATCCCCCAAGATCCCGCTAAACATGCACTGAAGGCATTTCCTGCCCCGCAGCTTGCCTTGAGGGCTAGACCTACCCGGATGTTGGGCCGCTCTGGAGGGACCTCAGACACCATGTTGTGGTTGGATACGTCACTGTTGGTGGTAGCCGGGCGTTTCCCACCTGTTTTACTGGACATGTCCAAGGCCGATCTGATTTCAAATTGACCAGAAGAAAGAGACCAGTCAGAGCCAAGACACAGTGGACACCACCCATCCCTTTTATCCACCCTGCCACCCACTGTTCCACAAGATTAGACCTCCTGAGTGCCACTGAGAGGTCATCTTGGCCGCTCCTTTGGCTCTTCCGAGATTATATGCCAGTGATCCTGGACATTCTCCTCTTTCCTGCCTGTGCAGTTATTTTAAAACCTAGACCCTGGGACTCCAGAACTCCTTTTTCTTCTAATGGCCCAGTGGCTTAAGAGAGTTGATTAATTATCCTTTTTTTTTTCCTCCTTTCATTCAGTGAGCCAGGATGCAAAACGACAAGAATTTGCATCTGGCTTTCATGGTGATTCCAGATCTCCTCAGGGCTTCCCGGGAAGGCCCCAGGTGATATGCCACCTCACACCTGTCTTCTACTCCATCGGTCAGCTTACAGGGTGTGACAACCTGGCTTCTGCCCGACCCCAGGACAAGTGGATGAGGGTGATGAGCCAGATGGGCCTCAGAAGCCTCCGGTCCTCAGAACTGGGGTGACCCCACATCCCTCTGCTCCCCTTCCTTCCCAGCGGCCGGGGGGCAGCGGGATGGTGGAGGTTAAGGATGGAAAGGCCAAACAGGAAGTAGGCGTGAACTTACGTTTTCAAGTCAAATTTTTTGTTTTCCTCTGGGACCTGGCCAGTCACTGGGTGTAGGAACGTGTTCCGTCTTTCATTGTGGCTACAAAAAGAGAGAGAAGTCGTGGTATAGATAAAGAAGGTAGAGACACAAGCCAACGGCTGTGCAGCCCTGGGCAGGGACAGGGACAGGTGACAACGTAAGGAGTTTGTGTCCCTGTCCTCGGTGGGGCCTGTGGGAGGCACGAGGGAGGCCGGGCTGGCTGCAGTCGGGATGGGGATGGGAGGTGGGAGGAAGAAGAAATGAAACCTGGTCACCTTTCACTAGTCAGCGTTAACTACTTCCTAGAGATCCCTGGCGCTGGAAATACGCCGCCACGCTTAACTCTGTTGGTGACCGGTGACCGTCCTAGGTGTGAGGAGGGGTTCCCAGTGCCACTCAACGCTGTCAGGATTTCACGCGTGGCAGGTTCTCTCCCAGCAACACGCGCCTGCCAGTGCTCTGCATAAAAATGCTCCCTCATTATTCGCTGAAAGACTCTCTTGTGACCTTGAACTGCTTCTCCTGCTTTGTGTTCCGCCTCATTCTTAAAATGAAATGGGAGATCTAGAAGCTCCATTCTTAAGCTTGAGCGGGGCCCCACCCCCACCCTAGGTGCAGGGTCTAAGGGCTACTTGCTGTGGCTGCGACCTCAGGAGCTGCCGGGCTTGAAGGTCAGTGCTGGCTCGACAGTCAGATCTAATTAAGGGTCGCTGTGGCCGGGGGTGGGGTGGGCTGAGGACAGCCTGCCAGGAAACAGGAGGGAGCACAGCAGGGGAGGGGTGTACGCACAGACAGATGGGGAGCAGGATCGTGCAGGCTCCTTTGGGGAGTCCTGCTGTGGCTCTGCTGGCTGCCTGAATGTCAGGACAGTCCCCAGTGGGCTCTCGGGAAGACAGAGGAAGGCAGCAGACAGAGCTTGGCGGGGGCCGATGCCATGGGTCTGAGCCACAGATGGCAGTGTCTGAGATGGAGTCTGGAAGCGGGGCCCACTTGGCCAGAATGTAGTAGTGGAGATTCAAGCATCCAGCCAGAGGCGGGACTAGGTGAGTTTTAAGACCCTCTTCACCCAGGCCCCTCGAGAAATACTGTTAGAGCAGGCCTCAGTCTACCCGAAGAAGCAGGCACCAGGACAGAGGCTGCTGAGGCTGGGCCACTTCAGCACACCCACAGCAAGGGGCCCCAGCTCTGTTCGATAAGTGGTGGGTCGGCCGGCACCAGAGGAAGGGGGTCCTAGTTTGGTCCCTTCAGCTGCATAAGTGAAGTAGAATAACCTTTTAGGGACCCCCTTTCAATAGCGCAGAACACATCCCAGCCGTTGAGCTGTCTGCTGAAGCTAAAGATAATATCAAAGGGTGTTTTTCCAGCTTGCAAAGCAGTCATGTTCGGATCTAACCCAAAGACACGCGGGAGCTGGAAGCACAGCAGGCAGCAGCCACAGTCTATGCAGAAATTGGGTTTTGCAGCCTGGGCTTGCCAGTGAGGACCCCAGCTCTGGCCAGTGCCCACCAGGCCTGGGTCCTAAGTCTAGCAAGTCTGCTCCCCACTTCCAAACTTTATTCCCACCTCCCTCCCAGGTCCAACAAGGATGCTCTCAACTTAATCACAGGGCATCTTTGCAAGGAAGGGGAGCTGTTTCCAGTTATCGTTGCCACTGGCTCTGCCCCATTTAGGAGTCCAGGGGGCAGGCAGTCTGTGACAACTAAGATCCCTGAGGTGCTAAGTTTTCTGCTTTTTCCCAGTGGCAGAGAGCACTGCCCCCCACCCCGACCCTCCAATCTCCTTCTGCTCTGCATGTTCCCAGTGGTAACTGCTGGCATCTTCCCCGCAGACCCTGTTACAGATAGACACACACGCACAGAAGCATGCACACAGTCTCCTGCCAACATCACGAGTCTTCTAGGGTATGGCACACTTCTCCCTGCCCTAGACTGTCCTACCCAGCAACCCCTACAAATGACGTCCTCTCTCCATCCCGGCGCTACCAATTTCAAAATAGCTTCCCCTTCAAAAGCACTGCAATGCAGCAGCCGTTGACCTAACTACACTTCCTTCTCCAGGTCATCTCAAGCAGGCCCCTCACTCTGAAGCCCCCACATCCGCCCAGGATGAGTTGCCGACTCAGCCTGCCCTGACTCAACTCGGCTCCTGGTCCGTGAAAGAAATCCCTACCTGACCCGTCGATCAGCCCGAAACTTCAACATCTTTTTGGCAGCTCCGTCCCCAGTTTGGCAGCCTCAGAGGACCCGCCAGCCACCCTGCTCCTACCATCCCTCCGAGAAGTAAGTCCTCCGGTCCACCTTGTAACGCCGTGGCAGAGATGCAGGGCAATCGGTGGCAGAGACTCTGCCGGCTTCCCCCTCCTCCTGGCTCTGGCACGGGAGAAGGGGCAGGGGGCTCTTCCTGGGTGGTGGCAGGGGTTGCCCAGGTGCCCTAGTAGGCCTGTGACTTCCTAACATTCGGCCAGAATGCGACCAGAGTACTGGAGGCAGAATAAGCAAGGAGGGGATGGTATCCTCCCAGTTCAGGTCCCCAAGGCGAAAGTGCTGAAGTGGAGAGACAGGCACACTCAGAGCAGGTGTGCCACCTCCAGGTAGTCCGACCTCACCGAGCTAAGGACACAGAGTGGCGGGGCGGGCGGAGGAGTCTGGGGCTGTGTTCCCATCTGCACGGCAGAAACTCATGCCAGCCCGACCTGCAGGGAGACGGTCCTCCTGCTTCCCCAGCTCCCAGCCCAGAACACGGGCTCTCGAGCCGAAAATCCACTTGCTTCCTGGAGACGCCCCGGATCCCGTGGGCACAAGGGTTAAACGAAGCTCCAGATTCACTTGCTGTTATCACTGCCGCTGCTGAGAAGCCGAGATTGATTGAGTGAGTCCCTTTCTGCTCTCTCAGCCTGCCCAGCCTTCCTCTGCGCGGACAGGAGCAGAATGAATGAAGCTCCCCTGCCGCCGTCCCCGACACGCTGCCCTCAGACGCAGCACCCGGCCGCTCGCCCTCCGCGTGCGGCGGTCTGGCCACCGCGAGCGAGTCGGGCAGATGGGCGTGGACGTTGTGCACCCAGGGCTGGTGCCAAGGATCGGGCTTCTTCGCTCAGGCAGAATTGAAAGAAAGCTTCCTCCTGAGGATGACGAGGGAGAGGGCAGCAAATGGGGCTTGAGGGGGGGTCACTGTGTGTTTATTGCTGAAAATCTTCCCAGTCGCAAGATGATAAATTCCGGCTGGTGACTGTCAGCTCTGCTCAGGAGGGAGAAGGTTTGTGTGGAGGTTCGTTCCCCTGAATTCTCCAGACGCCAGAGACGGTCACGTCCCCCCGCTTTCCTATTGCCCTTGTGTCTTAGGATCCCTGGATTGCCAAGGCCTTCTGACAGCCATCTCTCCCAGCCCCCTGCCTCTAGGCAAGGCTGCTCTCCAACCAGCCCTCGCGAAGTGCCTTGGCTGTCTGTGAAGTGGGCTAGCAAGGGAGGCTCCAGACCCACCGCTATCTTACGCTGCCAAGATGTTCTTTTTGATACCAAATTTCAGTTCCTCTGGCTTCCTATATCATTCTATTTTGTCTTCACATGACAGATTCCTTTCTGACTAACGTGGTTCTTTTTAGCAGCACCAGGCATTCTGTTGACATCATAGTCTGTTGCTATGGCAATTACGTGATGTCACAACAGACACTGAAAGGGAGGGGCTAATCTAATTTTTTTGGAATGTGGGCAGAACTTGGTCAGGAAACAATGCAATCAGTGAATGGAAAAGCAAATAGACAACATTATTATCACACCCACGATGGGACAAGCTGGTTGGGTATCACTGGGGTCAACAGCTAATCTTAAATCCAAAAGGTCAACATATTCAGCCATTTAGCAGCACTTTTGCAAATGATTTACCCTGGTGACAGGAGTCCTCAGTGTTTAGGTCACACCCTCTCCCTGTCCCTAATCTCTTTACTTGGGCCCTGCCATGGTCATGGAGAGCTGGGCCCTCTCCTGATGCCCACTGAGGTTTCTGCCTGTGGACAGTAGTTCCTGCATAAATATTTGCTGAATAAATGAATAGAAAAAACTCTCCATGCTCTGATTTAATTCTTAACCACCTGCATTTGGAGTTTAACATTCTATTACCAAGGGCTTCCCTATCTTAGCTCTGTCTTAAAATTAATTACTTCCTCTCCATGAGAGAAGCTGTTTCTGCCCCCTCGCCCCCTCACTCGGCTTCCCTGCCTGGCTCCCCCCGAATATATAGCTTGGCTTTGATCCATCTTCGGTAGGAGGGGAAGAAAATTAAGCTCATCTGCACAGGAGGAGGAGGGGGTGAGGTGCATTGGGAAAATGAGTTTTCTTCCTCTAGAAGGCAAAAATATCCCCTTTCTCTTCAAGATGAGCTCAGGGGCCTCCCACAGCCTTTGCTTAAGTTGCAAGTTAAATTACTTCTCCCATTCCCAGTAAAGATAGCACAAGGGAGTAGGAATGAAGGAAGGCTCAGGGGCTTCCCCTGCTTTTTGAGAGCTCTGACATCCTCGGGATTAAGTCAGCATACAGAATGCCTAGCTGGGGTTCTCTCCCTCTGCCACTAAACAGCACAGTATAATGGATTTTCATTTTAAGTTAGACATCAGGAAGAACTTACTAGATGCCAAACATCAAGAAGGAAAACAAGAATAGGCAATCTGTTTTCTCACTCCTCTTTCCTTCCTTTTGGGATGTCAAGAGGTTTCCATTTCTCAAGGACAAATGGTTACGAACACATGTCCAAATGGACCTTTCGAATTCCACCTAAGAAAAGGGGGAATATCTCAAGCAGTAAAGGAGATTTTGCAGTGGTGGTAGGAGCATCCCCAAACTCTGGAGTGGTCCAGTGTGTGGTCACTTATCCATTGCACCCACAGGAGTGGTCCCAACGGCAGTGCCGTCACTGGAAAGGGAACATGGCCGGACAAGGCTTTCAGTCCCAGACCCAGCAGTGTGACTTGACTTCTCCAGAGCTTAGTCTTTTCGTGTGCGAATGAGATATTTTCTAATTCTATGAAATAATCGAGCACATATACCAACTCTATCAAATAATAGCTATAG